TCTCTCTCTCTCTCTCTCTCTCTCTCTCTCTCTCTCTCTCTCTCTCTCTCTCTCTCTGTATTCAATTCCAATTTTTCTCTAATGGAAAATCCATTTTCTTTTCTAATGCAAATTTATCTCTTCCAATGGAAATTAACAGTTTCTCTGATTGAAATTTGCGATTTCTTAAATATTTCAAAGAAATGAAGCCGTACGTAACAGTGGGGAAAAATAAACGCGCATCTCTGATTGAAATTTACGATTTCTTATCTTAAATATTTCAGAGAGAAATGAAGTCGCACGTAATTTGATGTATTGAATTTACCAAGGAAGCCTGGACGTACACTAAAAAAAAAAAAAAAGTACTTTGAATTCTTTAATACAGTAACTGTATTATTTATTTAGCAAACAAATCAACCACGCATAAGTTAAGCTTCAAGTTGTTTTGTCTTCCTTGCGCGGGCTGCTATCCCTCGACCCAGCAGTTTTTTCCTACCTGTACAGTCAGACTGAGTATGAGATGAGTTCAGCAGGATGATCTTTCGTTAACCTAACTTAGGCCTCGCTGCATTTCTCTCCAAATGTGCAAAATGGGAATGAATCTTCCGCCAAAACACGGCAAGATTCACAGGCATATTTTTTTCTCTTTTGTGCATGTGGAAAGTAGTGGAGCGAGGCCCTTAAGCCGAGCCTATACTCTTCCAACCAAGCCTTCATTTAACCTAAAACGACCCTACCGAATCCTGGACCAGCCCTTATTTCATCTAGATATATTATATATTATATAATATACAGTATATATCTTTTTTTTTTTTTTTTTTTTCTGGAGCCTTCTCCCGATAGATACAAGGCGATAGATCAATACAAAAAAACAAAAACAAAAACAAAACAAGAGAACAATACCGAACCTATTCAGAAGCTTAGTGGGGCTTGAATCCACGCTCAGCCAAACGCTAAGCTTCAACAAGCCTAGAGATCTTTGCTGTCGTTAGTTCTGTCTTCTTTGCCCTCAGCCTACCATTTCCCGAGCCCGAGGTCTCTCTCTCTCTCTCTCTCTCTCTCTCTTGAGGACGTTCTCGTCTACTTCCTTCCTTGTGAGCGTACTTGGCCTCCTCTTATCTAAACTGCTCTTGGCCTTGATTAGCTGCAAAAGAGTCTGCTTCCCCAGCTTGCTTTGTTCCATGCCCCAACACTCTTGGGAGGAGAGGAGTACTTCACTTCTGTTCTCTCTCGTACGGCCGTCGGCGCTCCTCTTTCCCTCACACGTAACCCTCGTCTCTCTGCCTTCTCCTTCTCCTTCTCCTTCTCCTCCTCCTTCTTCTCCCTTCCTCCTATGTCTTCTGTTGCTTCAATTTCTACTCGCCGCTGCCCTTCTCCCTCCTCCTTGTCTTAGACTTCACTTCCCGACGTTGGAGGAGCTGGGTGGAAATACCTTCACTTCACTTACAGTAATAATTGTGTGTATAAAATACTCCTTGTCTTAGAGAGTCTTCTTTCAGGAAGACGTATGTAGAGAAGTAACAACGCCCTGCCGGGTTCGTCAGCAGCGGACGATAAGGAATACGTCCAGCGCGGGCTCGCCGTTTCGCCACGTGGCAATCCGCGAGGAGTTCACATACGTCTCCACACACACACACACACACACACACACACGCACACACACAATCTTTCTGTGCATGTGTGTTTGAGAGAAATAGAGACGCACACACACTCTTTCTGTGTGTGTGTTTGAGAGAAACAGGGACACGCACACACACTCTCTCTTTCTGTGTGTGTGTGTGTGTGTGTGTGTGTGTGTGAGAGAGAGAGAGAGAGAGAGAGAGAGAGAGAGAGAGAGAGAGAGAGAGAGAGAGAGAGAGNGAGAGAGAGAGAGAGAGAGAGAGAGAGAGAGAGAGAGAGAGAGAGAGAGAGAGAGAGAGAGAGAGAGAGAGAGAGAGATGTGGGGGGCCCAGAGGCTTGGGCCAGGAAAGCATCTCTTGTGCTGCGCGGCCAGGATGATTACGGTTCTGGGGGGACCGGGTGGGGGTGGGGGGACGCGGGGGACGGGGGCGAGTGTGGTGTTAAGGAGGTGACCTTTGTATTCGACTTTGATTTCTCTTCTCGTAAGGGCCCAAGCAGACAAACCTCTTCAGAGAACTGGAAGCCATCAACCGCCTGCCTTACATCGTTTCCTTACTAATCCACTGACTGACATTGCACACGTTCTTGTCCGCCTGATTGGGCTATCTGCTCTTTTGGTGTCCTCTCTATTGGCGTTGTCTACCTTCTTCCGCCGAATACAACGTACGCGGTCTTTATAGCTGAATGTGAGGCATCTTTCAGTCTAGATACAGCTATAATGGCCGTACTTGTATTCGGGGTAAGAAGGTAGCCCGCAAGTACGACAACGTTTATGATCCCAACGTGGGCCTTGCAACGTGTCAGGCTCTGACCTGCTTCAGGCCTTCTGCATCCCGACGTGGGCCTTGCCACGTGTCAGGCTCTGACATGCTTCAGGCCTTCTGCATCCCGACGTGGGGCTTGCCACGTGTCAGGCTCTGACATGCTTCAGGCCTTCGTTGTGGGCCTTCTGCATCCCGACGTGGGGCTTGCCACGTGTCAGGCTCTGACATGCTTCAGGCCTTGGTTGTGCCGAGAGGTGAATGAGGCGCGCAGCCCATGTGCCACCTGAATGGTACACGTGGGCAACTGTTAAAGTATTAATAAACATGTCAAAGGGCTTAGATCCTGTCGAAATCTGTATCGGACCGGAAAGATGGCCTGGTTCGTTGGGACATCCGTTAAAGTTGGGGCGATGCGCACGCAGAAGATTAGGGCCATTCTTGCAGCACTCGCCATCCGCCAACATTTCCAACGCATCTGGACAACTCTGCCGTCCAGATGCTGTCACAATCTTGGCGGGTGGCTAGTGGTGCAACTACCGTCTTCCCCCGAACATAACGCACCCTAAAAATGAATGTATACGAGTTCTATCTCCGGCAGATACAGCCAAAATGAGGGTGCGTTGTGTTCGGGGGAAGACGGTAGGCCCCTTGGCATGGCCCCTACGCAAGGATGATACGCATATAAATCGAGAAAAAAAAAAAAAAACTGTATAAATCGAGAAAAAAATATGGCTGTATAAATCGAGGAAAATGGTCTGTATACATTCATGATCGGGGCGCCTTGTGTTCGGGAGAAGACGGCAGTAGCTTCCCCACGTAAGTGTGAACGGGTTGGTGAATCCTCGGCATTAGCAGCACCTGGTCCGGATTCCAGCCAGGTACACGAGTTCTCAAACACATTCGGTGTCCCGGAACCTTCCCCAGGTCCTGCTCCGCGCCGCCGAGCACATTGAATTTCGTACTAGTTCAGGAACCTGGTCCAGATGCCGGCCACATTGCCAGGGACACATTTCAAAATGGTCCAGGAACCTGGTCCGGATTCCAGGCAAGGCTATTTATAGTCCAGGAACCTGGTCCGAAGGGCAGAAGCCGGCAGGTGCACGTGCCGACCACTGCGACCAGGTTCTCACTTCAGCAAACTGGACCAGATGCCAGCCTGGTGCGCGTTGCCGTACTACACATTCATTGCCCTGGTCCCTTGTGCCAGAAGCCTACCGTCTTCACACGAATATAACGTACGGTCATTTTCGATGCATCTGGACTCAAAGGTGCTCCATATACGGCTACTATGACCGTACGTTCTATTCGGGGGAACCCTGGTTGCTGGGAGGTTCCAAAAGCCCGGGCCCCTGGTGCCCAAAGCCTGGTCCCCTGGTTCCAGGATCCGGGTTTCCTCGTCCCAGAAGCCTTCTATCTGGTGCCAAAACCCTGGTCCCATGGCACCGTGGTCCCCTGGTCCTACGGTAGGAGCCTGGTTCCACTGGTCCTAAAGTCCTGTTTTCCCCTGGTTCCAGGAGCCGGGTTCCCTCGTCCCCGCAGCCTGGTACTCTTGCCCCAAAAACCTGGTCCCGTGCACCCGGGTCCCCTGGTCCGAAAATCCTGGTCCCCTGGCAGTCTCATTGCCTAGTTCCAGGAACCTGGTTCCCTGGTCCCAGCAGCCTGGTGCTCTGGTCCGAACCGCCTGGTCCCCGTGCACCCTGCCCCCTCCTTGGTCTTAGGAGCCTGGTCCCGTGGCAGTCTCGTCGCCTAGTTCCAGGAACCTGGTTCCCTGGTCCCAGCAGCCTGGTACTCTGGTCCGAACAGCCTGGTCCCCCATGCACCCTGCGCCCTCCTTGGTCCTAGGAGCCTGGTCCCCTGGCACCCTGGTCCCTTGGTCCCAGCAGCCTGGTACTCTGGTCCGAAAAGCCTGGTCCCCATGCACCCTGCCCCGTCCTTGGTCCTAGGAGCCTGGTCCCCTGGCACCCTGGTCCCTTGGTCGCAGCAGCAGCCTGGTACTGTGGTCCCAAAGCCTGGTCCCCTGGTCCCATTGTCCTGGCCCCCTGGCCCCCTGGTCCCCTGGTCCCCTGGCGCCCTGGTCCCAGTTGCCATTCATGGTCCGAATGCTGCCATGAAACCTGTCACAGCAAGCACATTGATGGTCCTTTGCATGTTCGATCCCTGGCAATGACTGATGTTGATGTTCCTTTGCATTGTCTGATCGCTGGTATGGATGTTTGCAGTGTTCAGAAAGTGTGTGTGCTTTTCGATGGGCGGGCAAAAAGCGTAAGAACGTACTAATAAAAAATAAAAATAAAAAATAAAAAGTACTAATAATTTACTAATAATGAATGGCTGATGAATTGTGACAATGTCATTCCTTGGGGGTGTTGCTTGCTGGTGGCTGGGGGGTATGATCTCTTGTCTGCACGACTCTGCAGTGTCGAGGAGGTGTACTTTAACCGGCAAGAAGGCGAATAACGGCTACAAGGTGTCGTTTTCGAACAAGAAGTCGAAGAAGCTTCAACAGCCAAACCTGCAGTACAAAAGGTTGTGGTGGGAGAAGGGCAACAGGTTCGTCAGGTTGCGGTTGTGCACCAGGGCCCTAAAGACTGTAGACCTGAAGGGCCTCGACGTAATGGCGAAGGAGGCAGGCATTGATCTTAACAAGTTTTGAGTAGTTTGCTGAGTTCCCCATGATTGATCTTTCTCCAAGGTTTCAGTCTGTAGCTTTGCAAGTCCTGAGCTTTTTGGCAATGTCCATCCTCTACCCTGCACCCAGTTGCTTCTGCCTTTCTTAGTTGTTGTGTCTAAAAATAGACAGTGCTATCGTGTAGTCGGGTGCTATAGAGAAAGCTACCCTACCCTATGGAAAGATGATATAGCTGTAGTGTTGACCCCTGCTTATGCAGATCGTGGCAAGAACTCTAGAAGAAGGAAGCGGTGGTCGCTGACTTTGCATGTGCGATCACCGTCAACGAGGCACATGGATACGAGGTGGGAGATTGTGAAGGAAGGAGAGGGCCAAGTCAAGTGCATGACATCATCGCTGATTGCAGCCATCTGCCCTCCAGCTGCCATCATCTAATGTATCCATTCATCCATCCATCCATCCATCCATCCATCCATCCATCGTCTGTGATGACTGAGAGAGGGTCATCGTCGAGAGAGATGGTGGAGCACACACACCGAGAAGAAGGGACCAGAAGGGATCTCGATTGCGCAACTGTGCAGGGGTTGGCGATCATGCTGATGTGCAGCTGAGCAATTTCGAAGATGCAAATTGACAATGAGGGTGAGTTGCAGTTGCAGTTGCAGTTGCACTTGCACTTGCTGCAGTTGTAGTTGCAGTTGTAATTGCAGTTGGGGTTACAGTTGCAGTTGCAGTTGCGGTCTAGTTGCAGTTGGGGTTACAGTTGCAATTGTACATCGACAATGAGTTGCAGTTGCAGTTGCAGTTGCAGTTGCAGTTGCAGTTGCAGTTGTACATCGACAACGAGGGTGAGTTGGAGTTGCAGTTGCAGTTGCGCTTGCACTTGCACTTGCTGCAGTTGCGCTTGCACTTGCACTTGCTGCAGTTGTAGTTGCAGTTGCAGTTGCAGTTGCAGTCGCAATCGCAATCGCAGTTGCAGTCGTAGTTGCAGTTGCAGTCGCAATCGCAGTTGCAGTTGCATTTGCGGTTGTAGTTGCAGTTGCAGTTGCAGTTGCGGTTGTAGTTGTAATTGTAGTTGCAGTTGCAGTTTGGTGTCTGCCTCTTCTCCCTGCTGTGGATGAATGATTCGAAAGTGGGCAGAGTTTGTCAGCTGCGTTCTCAACACCGAGTTTCAGACTTGGCCACAAATCTACTTTGGCATTTGTGAAAGGGAAGGACTTCGAAGGAGTGTTTATCTCCCCCTGTTTCAGTATAAAGATGACACAGAGAAGCAAAATGGTAGTAGTCGGTGAAAAGAGGAGAAACAGGAGACAGGGTATGGTCTGCTTCACAAAGTTCTGCAGGTTACGGTCTGAGAAAACGCCGCCTTTCCGTGATGCACATTGCTCTTGCGACCTCATCGATTATCCTGTCCTCTCTTCAAGTTATCCTTTTTTGTCTTGCCCCCACCCTGTCCCATCTTCAACTTATCTGTTATCGTCTCCCAAACCCATTGATCAATTTTTCTAAAAGACTAAAACCCGTCTTTTTTTTCTTCTGTTTTCTTTTATGTAAGTCGCCTTAAACTATATCGTGCAGATGCACGTATGCATTGTGTGTGAATACATGCGCATGCAAATGTGCATAGTAGTGCAATGAATACATGCGCATGCATGTGTGCATAGCACTGCAATGAACACATGTGCATGCATATGTGCATAGTACTGCAATGAATACATGCGCATGCATATGTGCATATTATTGCATACAATGTATACA